GGAGACTACATAATTCGTCAAAGCTGGATCTATTCATCCGGAAATTCTCTTTGAAAAACTTAGAGCCATTCTTCTGGCAGTCTACTTCCCAAAAGGTACTGGAATGTTCCTAAAATATATTCATTATAAACCAAAATTTTTATCTTCGAATTGCTAACATACCAAACACCAGACACTTTGTGAACGCACTATTGTTGGGTCCAGTAAATTGGCAGCAATAGACAAAAGCATTTTATTTTCTCTTATCTTCTTTTTTAAATAATATGTCGTCACCTCACTATCTATTATTTTAAAATAAAATGACAAAATCAATATAACGATTTTAATTTTAGGCACCATTTAAGAATTGTAGCACGTGGCGATAGAAAAGTAAACAAACGAATGACAGTTTCAACACAATTTTGATCAAACACGCAGTCGAAACAGTTGACAACTCTCTCAAACCCAAAACCTGCAAACCCAGGGTTTCACTTTGGTGGAAACGTAATATAAGTAGTTTTAACTTAGTTTAACGATATAGCAAAACGAGTTTGAAAATGTATCGATTTTTCTTTACGATATTTTGGAAAAAGTACATTTTTATTAAATAATGTCAACTTTGATCATCCGTTTAAGTAATTTTTACTTTCATTGCATGTTTACGCAAAAGAATAAGGTATAATTTTCTTGTTAATTGTGTGAAATAGCCAGAACAACCGCAGTGATGTGAAGTCGATGTTTATCGAAAGCATGCTGTGAAACATACAAACACATATCTAAATGTTATGCACTAATTTACTTTAAAAGGAACAATTGCAGAATACGGCGCGTTAAGGTAGAACAAACCGAAAAAGTGGGCGTGGTCTGCCCTTTTTTCTGATTTTACTGGTATCAAATATTTTTGATGCAAACATATATTCGTGCATATATGTAATACTTCTATATTGGCAGTAAGCTAACTTCTCAATGTGTAAGCATTCCGAAATCAAAGCGAGACAGTCTAGTACCGTTTTTGTCAATGTATCGCGTACTTGAGTGCCGTTTTTGTATATGTGTTGTGTACATGTTTATTTATAAACGTATGTGTTCCTTTTCTTTCGTACGTGTTTATTGATATATCTGTACTGTAGTGTTTTCGGACGGTACTAGCTCTTACTGCCAATATAGGAGTATTACATATATGTATTCGTGGCTATGGAGGGGCGAAGGGGGAATTTTCGAAAATTTTAAATTGCTATATTTCGAAAAATTGTTATGCTCTATTTAACTATTATAGTTTGGTGTATCGTTATTTACACATATTTTTTAGTAAAACTGGTATATTAGTTGTATATAAATGTGCATATTAGATAAAAGGGTTTTTTTTACCTTTCCAACGATACCCAGTTTTTTAAATTCGGTCAAGATTTTTCGAAATACAACCATTTTAAATTTTCGAAAATTCCCCCTTTTCCCCTCCATAGCCCCGAAAATATAAGTTTGCACCAAAATATTGATGTACCATTAAAATTAGAAAAAAGGGCGGACCTTTGGTTTTGATCTAGCTAAACGGGCCGTATTCTGCAATTGTTCCTTGTGACATACTTTGTTTTTGTTTAAATGTAAAAATATAAAGCATCAGCGTCTTACTTTTAAAAGAGGATTCCATGGTAAAAGTACAAAGCGCCAGTATTTTATTTCCAAAGCAAAGTAAATAATATTGGCCAATATGCACAACTATGGTCAGATACTAAGTTCCAATCAGGTTGCGCCAAATATACATTTCCATCCACTTTGTTTTCAAATAAGACTGATGCTTTTTACTTTTTTATTTAAGTAATGATAAACGTCAAAAGAATGTTCTAGAGTTGCCATGAGTACGAGCACAGAAGAGATGGATGTATAATGGCGTTGCAACAGTGCGCGGGAAGTTTTGGGGGCCAATTCTCGTTCTATGTAATGGGGAAGTGAAAATAAAACTCCGCCTTATCATGATTTTCATTTTCCCCGAACCAGTTCACTTTTCACTTATAGTTTCCATGTATTTAACATAGGCGGAATACGTATTTTCGGGTGAAATTTTTTTCGGGCGAAACTCAGAGAAAGGCAGAATATAAAATTTAGTTAAAATTTTAGTTTTTCACTTTATTATGGCATACCTTAAGAATACGGACCGTTGAGCTAGAGAAAAAAGAAAAAGTGGACGTGATCCATTCCTTTTTGCTTAATTGACAAGGGCGGCGCTAGGGGCTTTTCAACATTTTCAAAAGCTTATATTCCGAAAATTTTTGAATCGATTCTCAAAATATGGACACAGTTGTATAAAAGTTTACAACGTATACATATTTCGAGAAAAAGTAACAAAATCATTTTACGGAATTTTTTTTTATAAAAATGTATTTTTTCGTAAAAATACGCAACTAACTATAATAAAAGATATGTTTGTATAATTTTATATAGTTAGGTTTAAGTACAACTGCCAACAGTGAAATAAACCCACTATATTAATGTTGTATTCTACTAATTTATTTCAATTTCGTAATCATTGTCATCATCATCATTTTCGTCTACATTTTCAAGTTTCAGGGGATTATACTTTAAAAAAGTTTCAAAGTTTACGTAAGTTTAACGAAGACGACGTTGTTCCGATTTTTTATTCCAAATTTTCTCCTGCGGCGCTTTTTTTTTATATAAAAGTATACTTTATAATATATACCTGCGGGGCTTTTTTTCTTTTTTTTTATATAAAAGCATACTTTAATATATACCTGCGGCGTCGTTTTAAGTTTTTATATAAGACGATAGTTTACTATACAGCTAATGAAAATTTAGAATAAAACATCGCGGGTTTTTTTATTCCAAATTGTTGCCTGCCGCGCTTTTTCTTTTTCATATAAAACGATATTTGAATATATATTTAAACAAATATAATGTGCAGAAGATTTTTTTGTTACAAGTCATACATCAAATTAAAGATATTTTTGTGCTCTTTCTGATAATCATATTTGTTAACATAGTTAATTACGTATTTTTTACGAAAAACATACATTTTTATAAAAAAAATTGCCATAATTAGGTTTTTGTACTTTTTCTCAAAATATGTATACATTATATACATAAATATATATCTAATCAGAGGTCCTTCAATCACTTTTCCAACTGTGTCCATAGTTTTAAAATCGGTTCAATAGATTTCGAAATATAAGCTTTTAAAAATGTTGAAAATTTCACGCTTGACCCCCTTAGCGCCACCCCTGATAATTTGCACAAAAACAAAAATATGCCGTTAAAATCAGGAAACAAGGGCGGTCCACGCCTCCCTTTTTTAGCTCATCGGCCCCAATTCCAATTATTGTTTAAACGTTTACGTAATGTTTAACGTAAAGTAAAAATGATGAATTTATTAACGGTTTTGCTCGATTTTAGGAATGAGAAAACGACGAACTAACGATGAACAAACGATTTATCACAGTTAACAAATGAAAATAATGAAATTCTTACATTTGGGGTGCTAAAGGCACGAACCGTAAAATGTAAAAAATTAATTATAAATATTTGGCTTAGGAACAAACGTTAAAAATGGACGAACAATGAAGAACAAACGACGAACTATCGATTGCAATAATAACTAACCCAAAATAATCTGTTGCGGGTGCTAACTTCAGGAATTACGTAAAGTGAAAATTGAAAAATTAATTATAAATTTTTGGCTAACGAAGAAACGTTAAAAATGGACGAACATTAAAGAACAATCGACGAACTATCGATCACAATACAAAAATCTTAATATTTTCACAAACGGGGTGCAAAGTCCCCTTTCAGACACGTCAAGTCTTGTTTTCAAGTCTGCTCGTTCGTTGGTGAAGGAGGTGGGATGAGAGGGGAAGAGTACAGATCCTCCGTACCGTCAATTCGTTTCAAGTTTTCTTGTTCTCTTTTGATCTTTTCGTTGCTTCCCGTTTAAAGAACCAAGTAGTTGAATTCAATAAAACTTGATGCGTGTGGAACAGGGAACTGCAATTATTCGTGTTTTTAAGTAATTGGTTGAATAACACAAGAAATAGTGTTAGTGGATATTATTCATTGCAGAATATTCACCCATATCCACTAACACTATTTTACGCTCGGCACACAAAGCGAGAGCATGTACAATGACTAAGTTCTCTGTTGAAATGCATTGGTGGAGTGCTCAATTCTCTCATTGAGCCATTAAACAAATTAGTTACACGATCCAGAAAATAAAGGTCGCACCATTCGCGGACCGCTAACCCTCTCTTCGTCGATTTGACAGCATCCACCCAATCGCTGACGTCATAAAATACTTTTGTTTACATTCACTGTTGCCAACTTGATGCTTTTCGCACCAAATTTAGTGGGTATTCAAACCGCGAAAATTTTTGAGTTTTGTGCTTGGTGCGTTTTTGGTGCTTTTGTTTTTAGTTTGAAGACACCAAATTAGAAAATCTTAAAAAAAATTAAGCAAAATTTATAGCAATCGTAAGTGTGGTAAGCAATTTTACAAAAATTTAAACAAAATCATGGCACAGTGACAATCATAAGTGACAAAGAAATATGTGGCAGCACCTTCAATCATGCCAGAAGAAATCGACCGTTGTGCAAGAAACATTGATTTTTGAATCGGCATCCTTGCAATAAAATTATATATTCATATAAAGTCCATAAAATACACCAATAAAAATTTGGTGCTTTTTCAAAGTCAAAACTTGGCAACACTGCCTTTTGGTCGATGCTTCCTCTTTTTCTTGTCGAGTTCGTCTTGCTCTCTCATTCTGGTATTTTTTGACGTCACGGCCAGTTGCTCTCAGCTCGATTGGCGCAATCTTGTATTCTATCATTCTTGGATTAGTTATACCGAAATGAGTAGGAGCACTAAGAAGCACCAATAGTTCAGTTGAGTGATTTTAGTGAATTTAGTAATTTTCGTCGTTTATAGTAGGGATGCCCAAATCAGCACATATGTGTCGCGGGCGACTGCGCGTGCAAAGCACAGTATAGACAGTAAGCAACCTTTTTGGGTTGTTGTTGTAGTAGTCGTTGTTGTAGTTATATTCACTCCTGAGGAAGGCACGGGGTTGTGTGCTGCTATTTAATGGCCTTCCTCAGACTTTTTCTTAGATTTCAGGGTTGTGTGCTGTATTATTATTAGATAAATAAATTTAAGTATTTGTCAAATCGTGATTTTATTAAAAGAAAATTATAAATGGTGTTGAAAAACCAAAAAAATTGTTAAAATTTATACATGGAGTACTTATTCTTTTGTGGACTTTATGTTACTTGAGAATTTAGACAACGTGCGAGCTGCCAGGTTCTGTTATCAATATAATTAACACAAGCTTTTCCGAGTGGTTGCCTTTCAATAAAAAGAAACAAATATTCGCAAATAAATTGGATTTATTTTATAACTGACAACTAACCTACGCTTTTTGTTCTTTTCTTCATTTTAATTTTGACTCCTTATTACCGCCAACAACTTTATTTGTATACATATTTACAAGCTGTCAA